TAGGGAAACACAATTTAAAGTTATCCTTCCTGAGATCTTCATGTCTTTAGAGCTGCTTCCTTTTGCTCAAAAGATATCCAGAGAGAAAAATACATATATTATATGCAATCAGAAATAATTTTGGTGACTAGGTCACTGAGAAAAATATAGGTTTTGATCAATAAGAAGAAAAGTGAAATGCCCTGGGCAGAATTATCGAATATTGATTTCATACCCATAATAAGAGGGTTCAGGTGCTGAGCAAGCCTGACCTTGTGGGTGGCGGAATCACTCGGTGATTCCTGCACGTTTTCTCTTCCTTTCTTCTCCAAAGCTGGGAAAGCCCCTATAAAGCCAAGTAAGCAAAGCTGTAGGAATTTCTTTTCAAGAAAGATTCTCTCAAAAAGCATGATGGATGTATCTGTGCTGCTCACCTGCCACAAGTGCCTCCAGCAGCCACATCACCCCACAGATGGGGTTGCTCTGGGTTGGGGATGTTATAGGGCCTATTAAAAGGTAGCACTCACCTGCAATTAGACCCCCCCGGGAAATGTCCTGACAAAGAAGATGATTACCACACTTCTAATTGTCCCCACTATGTCTGATGCTGTAAAGGTATTGCTAAAAAATTAGTTTGACTATACCCAGGAAGAAGACAGTCCATAAGCGCTTAAAGACTGTTTTCTACACCTTCAATGCCAGAGGTTGCACGAGCAACATGGGACAGAAAGAGAAAAAAAAAAAAAGCAATGAGTTTAAATAATGTAAATTTAAGAGCAACTTAAAGCACCAGTCTGCATCAGGTGAAGCAGGGAACAGAAATAGCCAGAGCTGGCTTCGTGTATGTAGAGGTCAGGTGAGACATGCTGACCCCCCTGTCTGGCCTTGCCGTCCGCAGGTGTGTAGTGGCCGTCACAGCAGCTGATGGTGTGGTGAAACTGTCACCAGGGGCCTCCTGGGCTCCTCACTGCTTTTGCAGCTTTCTGCTGGGAAATAACCTGACCTTACTGAGATAGCGTAGAGAGCCCTAAAAATTTCAGGAAGTCATTTGTAGAAAAACAAATTGCAGCTGACTTTCAGGAGAAAGGGCCTTTCTGCCTGAAGGTGCTCTGTGTTTCCATCTCTCTAGGAGGCAGGTCTTGACACTGGCTTGAATCACTGTCTTAATGCAGGAACATTAATTAAAACAAGCACCCAGGACCACACTTAAAAACTACTCAGGTCATACCTGCATCTTCATGGCCTGAGTTCCCACTTTGTCTCCTTCATTTACCAGAACATGTGCAAGGCACAGTGCTAACAAAATTGCTCAGTCCCACTTTCTCCACAGAAATCCACAAATTGTGCCACCTTCTTTACCAACTGCTAATAGTCACAGTTGGAAAAGGGAACTAAAGTGAAAAATCCCACATGGTTCACTTTTATGGCTTTTGAACTCACATTTCTCCACTTCTCATTGTGACAAGATTCTACAAACTTTGCCCAAACACAAAAAATCAATGAGGGCAAAAGGGTCGTTTCTTGTAGAAGTATTCCCTCCCCTTTCAGGTTTCAGCATAGCCAAGAAAAGTTTAAATAGCCAGGGGTGGGGTAAGGTTGTGGTATATGTATAGTCTGTCTGTTTATTGACATGATACAGACACAGACTTTAATCAGTCCTCAGAAACCTCTATGCTCTGGTGCTGAGCAGCAATCCAAGCCAGCAACCATCTGCTGACTGACTCAAGCCCTGGTTGCTGTAGGATACCTTGTGCTTTGCCAGCTGTCAGTCTCAGGTGATCCCCCCAAGCACTTAGACTCATTCTGGGGGTTTTCTGCTCCGTGAGTAACAATATCTAATTCCTCTTACCAGGAACTTTGCTGCAAACTGAGGTATTTATTAACCCTTGGGTATTTTTCTGAGGCCACTCACTTTTTACAGCCAGAGCGCTGACCTGTGCTGCCTTCCCAGACAAATTTATTCTTGACTTCCCAATGTTGGGAACGAGCAGCAGGACAAGGTTGTATGATGCACCACTGCAGGGAATCCCAGCCTAGAGGAAGCCCTGGCATCATGATGATGCATAAGCACAGTGTGTTGGGACACCATGTCCTTCAGGCTGGGACCCAGGTGGCCAAGGGTCCCAGACCAAACAATGGGGCCAGAAGTCAGACCTGGGACCCAACAGCCCAGAAGCAGCACCAAAAAAGGGGTTTATGTTGCCCCCATCTATCCGAGGCCCTGATGATTTGGGTTGCATCAGTGTTGCAGCTTGCTGTGACCAGCATGTCCCAGCCCTCACCCCAGCCTCAAGCATTTAATGGCTCTGCTGGTTGTTAGAGGAGGTCCAAACTGCCTTTCTACCTCCTTCTCCAGCACCTGCAGCTCTCCTGGTAGCCATCCTCCCTCATTTCCCCTTCCTCACCATCTAGACAGTGGCAGCAGCCCCACCCAAGGCTCTACCTCCCCTCCCAGTGCCCACCAACCAGTGAGCATGTCTTGCTTTGGCATTTGCTTATTCACTATGGCAGTCAGGAAGGAAATTTATATTTTTCTATTCACCCAGCTGGGTGCAGTGGACAGGTTTTGCCTTGCTCTGCCACATCTCAGTCACCACAGGATAGGATAGCTTGCAGCAGCAGACACAACACAGAGAAGTCTGGGTTTCCACTTGGGAGCTTCTCCTGCATGGTGGAGAGACAAGGCAGCTCCTGTCTGCCCCACAGGGCTCCTCTCCCTCTTCCCATCCCAGAGGCTGCAGTCATTACTACCCCCAGCTCTCTGCCAGGGGCCACCGCTTAAGCTTTGAAGTTGTGTGGCAGTGAAACCCATGGCTAGATTTTAGTTTAGGTGACCTCACAGTCAGGTCTGAAATGCAGATGGCTCCAGGTTGGTGTATGAGCCTCCACAAAGGGGCTCCTCACACTGGGGTTTTCTAGCTATTCCGGGGCCCAAAGCCCATACTTGGGCCAGCAAGGCCATCCCAAATGGTATTGGTGTCATCCATTCCTCCCACCTTCTGGTGTGATACTGGCAGAAGCACACATGCATCTATGGCGTGTCGTGTGTGCCACGTCACACACAGCCCCCCACCCCCCATCACAACTCTCACTTCAGCATCATCTGTGCCAGGACAATCCTGCAAAGAGGAACTAACCAGCAGAAATAGAGGAAGTGAACCTGTCCATATGGAAAGAAGAGTCACAGCTTTCACAGCACAAGCTGCTTTAACTGTTTAGTGCCTAAAACAAGCAGCAGCTGCCCTGTGCAGCTGAAACCAGGGCCCCTCCATGTGCCAGCATCCCTGGGCAGAGCCAGCTCAGTACCACTGAGACCAGCTTCCTCAGCTTGGCAGTCCTGAGCAGGAGGAGCTTTTCAGAGCTGGGGGCACTGCAGACCCTGGGGGAATGACTGGGATGTGGTAGAAGAGGCTGCAGAGGGCCCTAATGTAGATGTTGGTCCTGGGGGTGGGCAATACCTGTGCTATAGGTTTCCCCATGGCAGGGAACCTCCAAACCCATTGGTGCCTGCCTCAGGGCTTTGGGTAGCCTCTTCCTTGTGAGAGAAGGGAGACAAATATTGCTGACACCACACTGCACCACCTCCCTGCTGCTTCTCCTTGCCTCTGCCTTGGCGTCAGCAGCAAAGCCCATGGGATCAGGGCCAAATCTCACCCTGTGATGTGAGCGAGACCCCAAGGCCACGGGGCCAGGGACATGTCCCTTGCATGGCACAAAAGAGCCAGGGTCACCCAGGGGCAGTGGGGATTCATCTGGGGGAGTCACAAGCACTGGCCAATGAAGATTCACACAGTGAAGAACTTAAGGCAAGATTTCTCCCTGCCCTATCCCCAGCACAGCAACCTTAATAGGGAGCGGGAGGTTTCACAACAGGGAAGCAATGAGCTCCAGGCACCTCTGCTTTCTGCTCCCCACCCCGTTCTCTCAGTTCCACTCAGTCATATCTCACACTCAGGAGTTCTCACTTCTCCTTTCTCTTTTTTTAATTCAATCCCCAAAAGGAGGAACCACCCAGCAGCTGCACCCCTAACCAGCTCATTTCCCCAACTCCTGCCTCACGACTCAGACGTCTGGTGAGGGCCCTGCAGTGATTCAGCCATGGGCTGGATGCTGGTGGGGGTCCTGCTAGCTTGGATGTTAATGGTTTTTGTGAGAGGAGCTGAGCAGTCCCAGGAGCTGTCCTCCTCTGTGGGGTTTCTGGAGTGCAAGAAGGCCCTGAAGCTCCCAAGTCTAGAAGTCCTGCCGGGGGGGGGCTGGGATAACCTCAGGAATTTGGATATGGGCAGAGTCATCAATCTGGGCTACTCACTGTGCAAGACTACAGAAGATGGATCTTATATCATCCCAGATGAGATCTTCACTATCCCTCGCAAGCAGAGCAACATGGACATCAACTCCGAGATCATCGAGTCCTGGAAAGATTACCAAAGCATCACTTCTGCCTCCATCAACCTGGAGCTGTCTCTCTTCTCCTCCATCAACGGCAAGTTCTCCCATGACTTCCACCGGATCAAGACCCACCAAGTGAAAGACCATGCTGTCACCACTCGAGTGCAAGTCAGGAACCTGGTTTACACTGCCAAGATCAACCCAGGGGCAGTCCTGGACAAGGGCTTCAAGAAGCAACTGCTGACCATTGCCAGTCACCTGGAAAACAACCAGACACGGATGGCTGATTTTCTGGCTGAGGTGTTGGTGCTCAATTACGGCACCCACACCATCACCTCTGTGGATGCTGGAGCCAGCTTGGTGCAGGAGGATCAGATCAAGGCAACCTTCCTGAAGGACAGCGGGGCCACACGGAGTGCTGTCACCGCCTTGGCCGGCATGGCCTTCCACAGCATCATCAGTGTGAAAAGTGAGATGTCCCTGGATGTCAGTACTGACTTCACCAAGCAGTACCTGGAGAACCGCACCAGCTCCAGAGTAGAGAGCATTGGGGGGACCCCCTTTTACCCAGGCATCACCCTCAAGACCTGGCAGGAGGGGATCAGAAACCAGCTGGTGGCTCTCGACCGCTCAGGGCTGCCCCTGTACTTCTTCATCAACCCCAGCACCCTGCCAGAGCTGCCCACCCCCACAGTGAAGAAGCTGGCTAGGCAAGTGGAGATGGCTGTACGGCGCTACTACACCTTCAACACCTACCCTGGCTGCACTGACGTCTCTTCACCCAACTTCAACTTCCATGCTAATGCTGATGATGGATCTTGTGAGGGTGTCATGACCAACTTCACCTTCGGGGGAGTCTTCCAGGAATGTGCTGGGCTGGCCGGCCCTGACACCAGCATACTGTGTCAGGGGCTAGAGCAGAGGAACCCCCTCACTGGGGCTTTCTCCTGCCCCACCACCTACACACCAGTGCTGCTGGGCATGCAGGAGCGGGAGGAAGGCCACAGCCACCTGGAGTGCCACAACAAGTGCATCCTGGGCATCTTCTGCCACCGTGAGTGCCGAGACGTCTTCTGGCTCTCCCGGGTGCAATTCAGCGCCTACTGGTGTGCTTCAAGTGGGCTGGTGGCCCCAGGCTCAGGATATCTCTTTGGTGGGCTGTTTAGCACCCACAGCGCCAACTACATCACCGCTGCCCAGTCTTGCCCCTCAGGGTACTTCCCACTGAAGCTCTTTGATGAGCTCAGGGTGTGTGTGAGCCAGGATTATGAGAAAGGTGGACAATTTGCAGTGCCCTTTGGGGGCTTCTTCAGCTGCCAGGCAGGGAACCCCTTGGCAGGACAGCACCAGGGCACCGCCGAGGACCCCCATGCCAAGAGCTGCCCTCCAGGCTTCAGCCAGCACTTGGCACTCCTAAGTGACAGCTGCCAGGTAGAGTACTGCATCCAGGCTGGCATCTTCACAGGAGGCTCACTGCCACCTGCTCGCCTGCCACCCTTCACCCGGCCCCCCACCAACTTGCCGGCCATTGCCACCGTGCTGGTGAGCAGCGGGGACGGGGACAGCACGTGGGTCAGGGATGGGCAGAGCCACACATGGCGGCTGGCCCAGCCAGAAGAGATCCAGCACACAGCAGAGACGGTGAGGGGCCAGGGGCTGACGGGGGGTGGGGTGGCTGGTGTCACCACAGCAGTCCTGGCAGGGCTGGCCACCATCCTGGCAACTGTCTGCTACAGCTACCGGAGGTACAAGGCGAGGGGGTACTGCGCGATGGGCGAAGGGGACAGCCTGGCCGCCACAAGCCCTGAGGACAGCACCGTGCTGAGCATGGGCGAGGGGTACCAGCAAGAGTCGGGGGGGCTGATGGGATGAGCATAGTGTGCAGTGTTGTACCGCGCCCCCCCGTCCCTCGCCAGGTGATGCCTTGTGCCCCAAACTCAGGCAAAGCCCTCTGCGCATCTCCCTTTCTGGTGACAAAGCTGTGCAGCACCAACAGCCCCCTGGAGCCGAGTGTCCCTGTCCTCACAGAGGCCCTAGGCTTACCCCTCCTTGCGGCAACATGCTCTTGCCCTCCACCAGATGCCTAAGCTCCAGCTTTGAGAACCTGAGTGTCCATGACCCTTCAGACGTCCCTCTCTGACTCACCTTAGCGGCTGGCTCCCAGAGTCAACTTGTCATTAGGACTGACCACAACACTTCACCAGCCCCTGCACTTCCGTGACTGCATCTCCCCCCTCCAACCAGTCTCAGGGCTCTGCCCCTTCAGAGATAAGCAAGTTTCCCTTCCACTGCAAGCCACGCCCCTGCTGTCCCTCCAGCCTCAAAATCAAAAAAGGGCATCCACGGCCGTTTGACAAGCCACTGGAGATGCTGGGGTGCCTAAGGAGAAGGAAATCTTGAGCGCAGTCACCTTCTTCACTCCACCTATCTGGGCCCAAAAAGCGAGGGGAAGCTGTGCACACCCTACGCTCCCGCAACACGTAACAACAGCAACACCAGCAGGACTCAAATGTGTCCACAGTGGAGACCCAATACTTGTCAAAACATTGGGTCAGGGTGCATGCTGGGGACCGACTCCTGGGAAAAGACCTCCAGTACTCCAAGTGCAGAAAGCCCACCTCCAAGCCACTGCAGGCACCCAGCGCCAGCACAGCTGGCACTAGTGCTGCTTTGCCTCATGGGAAAGGAGGGAGGGAGGTGCCACACACGGGGTTTTCCTGACTGACCACCAATTTCTGACTGTTTCAAGGGGAGGGCAACCCCTATCTCCATGTATATCTATCAGGTTAGATATACACACGCATGCAGAGAGGCACGGATCAGTTTTATTTCAGCCAGCAACTAATTGTGTAGGCAACACAGCATTAAAAAAGAAAAAAAAAAACATACTGTGAAAAGACTGTGTCACATTAAGAGCCACCACGCCAGCACCCAGGGAGATTGCGGGGGACTGTGTTCTTCCTCCCCTAGAGATCACAGGAAAGTTTTGCATAGGTCCAGTCAGGGTTTTTCTGCACTAGGGGAATCCCAGGGCTTGGATGAAGGAGCACACTGCTGCAGCTCCCCTGGTTGCAAAACGGCATTTTCCTGGGGAAAGAATTTTTTTCCCCTTGAGGTAGAAAACAACATCCCATGCAAAGGACAACTGGGGACAGATGGGTGCAAAGGGACAACATGGGGATAAGGGGTGGCTGGCCCTCCCCACAGTGCCCCTTCACTTGCCTGGCCACACAGACGACGGACAGAAGACAACAGAGAGGCCAGGCCATGCAGGGACAGTGAGCATTCCCTGCTATCTGCTTTATTGATCCCCCCCACCCTCACTCTGAGGGGCAACCAGCTGGGGTGACACACCCCCCAGGCTGGGCAGGAAGAGGAAAAATGGCAACAACAACAGAACGATGCACAGCACAACAGGTCCCCTCCTCGCACTGCAGTCCCCTGGGACAGAGGGTGAGGTGACCCCCCCAGGAAAACCAGGAGGGGAATGCAACAAAAGGGGCTAGGAGGCCCCAACTCCTCTCATGAACAATGGTGCAGGGCTGGGTGCAGCCTGGGCAGTAGTGGGTGCTGCTCTCCATTTCAATCTCCTACTGAAATGAGTGCAACCAGCCCCCACCGATGGCAAGAGTGCACCCAGGACAGCCCCCAAAGCTGTGGGGAACCTCCCTGGCACCCCATCATAGGTGACTCTGAGAGGCCCTATGAAATTCCCTGGGGGCTGGCAGGGACACCAAGATGCCATGCAACCACTCCCCCAGCTCCATGAACCACACTCCCCTCCCCACACCATCACCCCGGCCTCAGCCCAAAGCCACTGTGCCAATCCACTGCCAGCCAGCTGCCTCCCCGCTGCC